GCCGAGCGCATCATCTTGGTCAGGGCACAGCGCTGCAGTTTCACACGTCTGCCAGTTAGTCTCAGGCCGGGCCTGGAATTCAGGCAGCAGGCGCCCCCTGAAGGGGGAGTGTGGCCCGCGAGCTGACAGAGGGCGTTGCTAAAGAAAGCGCAAGCATCATGATCCTGATCATCGTCGCCGTCGTCGTCGTCAACATCACCATTGACCGTCATCGTTGTCGCGAATAGTTGCTACCGCCACCGTTGTCACAGCCATCAGGCGTTGTCTCTGCTGTCACCAGAAATCGTCGCCACAACCGAGCATCCTCGATATCTCTGACCGGGAGGACGAGAAGGCGGATCAGGAGCAGGTCGCCTGCAGTGTCGTCGCGCCGCTCTTCGCCATCATGCAGCCGATCGCCACGGTCAGGGGGTTTCGCCGCGCCTGGAGGAGGACATCCTCCTCCTCGTCGTTACCAGGAATGATGAGCTCGCCTGGCATGCTGCCGCATCTGCGTCCTTCTCACCTCCTCCTCCTCCTCCTCCTCCTCCTCCTCCTCCTCCTCCTTTCTGTCAGGCTGTCTTACCAGATTCCACTTGCGCCTCGCTCACTCCTGGACGTTGGGCCCGCTCCGCTCGTGCCTGGGCCCCGAATTGGTTGGGACCCCCCCCTGGGCGATGGAATGAGGCGGCGCGGGGCGCCCGCGCCCGAATCCTGAGGCACGCGCGGGCCCCGTGGGGCCCTCGAAGAGGAAAAACCAAAAAACCAAAAAAGACGCCAAAAAACCAAAAAAAACAAAACCGAACCTCGAAGAGGAAAAAACAAAAAAAAGACTCCACCGTAACTGCTGGCGGAGCATCTGAGCATCCCCCCCCGGCGCGAGGCCCGCCCCGACCTCCCCCGGCAGGGCGGCCCGGGCGGGCCGAGGCCCGAGGCGCGGTGCGCGGGCCGGGGCCGCCCGGGGCCCGCGGGAGCACTCGCGGGTGCCCGCCGAGCGGTTCGCGTCTGCCACGTGCCTCCTCCACGGTTGCAGACCTATTCTTATCCTCCCATCCTCCCTCCTCCCCCGTCTCCTCCTCCTCCGCCTCCTCCGCCTCCTCCTCCATCTCCGCCCCCTCCTCCTCCTCCTCCTCCTCCTCCTCCTCCTCCTCGTCTCCTCCTCCTCGTCCTCTTCCTCCGCTCCTCCTCCTCCTCTCCTCATCCCCCTATCCTCCTATCCTCCTCTCTCATCCTCCTCCTCCTCCTCTCCTCTTCCTCCTCCTCCTCCTCCTCCTCTCCTCCTCCTCCTCCCTCCTCCTCCTCCTCTCCTCCTCCTCCTCCTCCTCCTCCTCCTCCTCCTCCTCCTCCTCCTCCTCCCCCCCGTCCTCCTCCTCATCCCCCTATCCTCCTATCCTCCTCTCTTCCTCCTCCTTCTCCTCTTCCTCCTCCTCCTCCTCCTCCTTCTCCTCTTCCTCCTCCTCCCTCCTCCCTTGACTCCTCATATCCTCCTCCTATGCTCCTTCCTCTCACACTCCTAGCCTTCCTCCTCCCCCCTCCGCCCTGCCCGAGCTGGCCCCAGGCTTTGGCGCAGCTCCCTGCAGCTCTGCGTGGCCGAGCCCGCTCTGTCCACGCTGGCGGAGGTCCCTTTCGCACTGGCGGCCGCGGCGGCGGACGCCCCTGCGGGCGCTGTCGACGTCGCCGTCCTCGTCGTCGTCGTCGTCGTCGTCGTCGTCGTCGTCGTCGTCGTCGTCGGTTGCCGCGGCGGTGGTGGTCATCGTCGTCGGTTGCCACGGCGGTGGTGGCTACCGTCGATTTCCCTAGGTGGTGGTGGTGGTGATGGGTTTGGACACCGTCGTCGGTTGCCGCGATGGTGGTTGGCATCGGTTGCCGCGATGGTTGCGGCCGCCATTGGTTGCCATGGTGGTGGTCGTCGTCGTTGGTTGTCGTGGTGGATGTTGTCGTCGGTTGCTCCAGTCGTCGTCGCTGTTGCTGGTCGTCAGCATCGTCGGCCGCCGCGCGTCGTCATCGGTTGCCGTAGTCGATGAGGAGGGCAGGGAAGAGGATGCATGTGAATGAGGAGCGGGAGGAGGACGAGAAGGAGGAGGAGGAGGAGGAGGGAGAGGATGAGGTGGAAGGAGGATGAGGAGGAGGAGGAGGAGGAGGGGGACAGAGAGGAGGAGGACGGAAAGGAGGGGGGAGGACCTCCCTCCTCCTCGCTCCTCCCTCCCCCCTCCCCACGTTTCGCGGCATGGGCCCTGCGTCTGCCTCCTGCACCAGCCACCATTGGCGAGGACGGCGGCACGGAGGTACGACAGACAGCGGCCCACATCGGATGACCTCACCGTGGGCGTTTTTTGCCTCTCGCTGCACCGTTCCCTGCTGGTGGTCAGTGGTGTGCGCCGAGGGCGGCACGGGCCTCGACGGCGACAGCGTGCCACGACAGTGAGCGGCTTGAATATGGAACATGTACTTTTCAAAAGGAGCTCGGTCGTCCCCTATGTTTGCATGCGTTATGCATCGCTCCTTACGCGTCATTTATTATTTATCGTTCCCCGTGCGTTATTCCTTGGGGAAAAAGGGGTTTCGTTCCTTATGTATCATTCCTTAGGTCAGGCCCATGACTGTAGGCTTGTGGGCGACGTTCAATATAGAGGGAGCATGTTGCCAAACACTGTCCATATGTATAGCATGGTTACACATGTCTTGAATTCGTCAAGACATGTGTCAAGCATTTTTAGAACATGTGTGTGTGTGTCGAACATGTCGAACTCATTTTCAGCTCAGTGATGGGATTGTTTGGATGTCCATTGTCATGGCGTCCACAACACTGGGGTGCGGGCGGATGCGCGGGGGGTAGACGCAGAACAAACGGAAGAGTGGCCGCAGTCTGTCGCCATCGCGCCCGGCAGTGCCCGCAGGGCTCGGGGTTGAGAGTGCCTGCCGCTCCCCGGGCGAAGCGCGCCCCGACGACGACGCTTCACGACGACGACGACAAGCACGACGACGACGATCACGACGACGACGACGACGATTACGATCACGACGACGACGACAACGAGGACGGCGACGTCGACGACGACGACGACGGTTCAGGAAAAGGGGAGGATACCCCAGGTAGCACGCCAGCATTTTTGCGCAAAATGTCAGGCACGCCTCTCAGGCTGCGTTTCGTAACATGGCATGTCGACGTGGGTAGTTGGCCAGGGTTTGCACTATCTGAGTGGTCATCATGTTCATGCCTGGGTTCAAATCATACGGTTCATGCTTCTTGTTTACCTTTGCCCTCTACTGGTGGACATTTGTAGTTTCGTGGTCTATCATTGTTCGAGTAGTCCCATGGTTTGAGGATTCGTTGCAAGCTGATCGATTTCCCATTTCAGTGGTTGTCCGTGCTCAAGTCCTCGCACACTGTGGCCCACCATGCCCATGCCACAGCCACTGATCTGCAGAAGCCGCAGATCTATCACCGCACATGCCGCATGCCGGGCGGCTGTTTCCCCTGATGCCGACGTTGTCCGTTGCACTGCTTCGTGCCTGCGTCCGCCAGTCGGAGATCGGTTGGAGTCTTCCCCTCCCCCATGAGAGTCCCCCCGGACCAGGTGCGGTCTCCGGTGTTTGGCGCCACCCGCGGGGGCTCTCTCTCTCGGCTCCCTGGTCGGGGGCTCCCTCTCTGCGCGGGCCCGCCGTTTCTCTCGAGTAGCATGGCCCGCTGGGCTCCTGTGCCCGGCATCGGCCCGCCCGTGGCCACGCGCTTCCAGCACAGCGTACGTGGGGAGGCTGTCGTGTTGAGGTCGGCGTCTCGGGGGAACGCGCCAGCTTCGGCTGAGTCTTCGGCCCCGAGGGGGCCCGAGACCCTCGTGCTCCTCGCTCGTTCCTGCGCGAGCAAGCGCCGATGTCGAGAGTTTTTTGCCCGCGCGCATCTGTTTCTGGGGCAAGGCCCATAGATGGGTACTCCGAGTTTCTTGATAAGCGCCAGGGGGGCGTTACCCCCGCCGACAACCCCACATCGACCCCCGTCGCGGGCAGCCACCGCGCGCCGAAGGCGCTCCGATCCCCGTCGCGGCGCGACGACGAGGCGAGGTTGACCCCCATCGGGGCCCCCCTTGCTTCTTAAGAAACCCAGAGTATATTGTGTGTTGTGCTTCCTTGTTCCTCTGGGGCCCTTTCTTCGACATCTGCTGCAGGCTGCTCGCGCACCGCGCACGCCTTCAGACTGTCTGCTCCTTCGGGCTCGGTTCCCCGCGCTTGGCTCGCAGTGTCGCGCCTCGCGGGGATCAGCTGGGCTTGGCCTCCCTGGATTGTTTGTAGGACGTGTTTTCAAACCGTTCCTCCAGAGGCGGCCATGACAAGGCATGCTGAACGACAAATGGCGGCGATGCTGGTCGTCCGTCCCACTCGCGTGTGTTCGCTGCGTCTGCAAGGGCTCCGACTCGATCCTGGGCCTACGTGCGCCTCTGCTGCTTCTGCTCTCTCATGCGTGTTTCCCCACCTCGGGCAGCGACAGCCTACAAGGGTTCTAGCTCCTGCCTCGAGCGAGTGAGCAATAGCTGTGGCGAGTGCGATGCGTGGCTCCCTCCCATTCTCCTTATAATGAGCCCTCCTGTTCCGTTGCAGGGCCGCCCACGATCCGCTTCGATGCGGTGCGATGCGATTCGATTCCTTCACTGGCATCGGCTGGGGCCAAGTGGAGCCTGGCGCGTCCGCCTGATTTCGATCAGACTCAGGACGATTCGTTGGCGATCCGATCCGTTTCCGATACGACCCGACTTCGCAATTCGATCCAGCTCACGCCTGCCTCAGCCAAGCACCATGAGCGTGTTCGTATGGGGTTCCCGACGAGGTGATGAAGCCTCTCTCGCCTGCTGTGGCTGCTCGGGCGCGTCATTCGACCTAGCCTGCTTGCAGATCACGGTGGCGCCCCCAGCAACCCCCTCACTGCCCCCTGCCCCTCCACCCCCATCACTGCCCCCTTCCTTGCTGCCCCCTCACTGCCCTTCCTCACTGCCCCTCGCTTCACTGCCCCCTCGCTGCCCCCTCGCTGC